TAAAGTTTTTCAATCCCCCTCTCTCTCCATAGATAGTGGATTAGTGGGAATGGGCTAATCCTTTTTTTTTTGTGTGTGTGGATGCGGATTTTAGTTGGTGCATCGATCCGTGTCCAACTAAACATGTTTGTCCCAACATGTTATCTTCCATTACATTTAAATGAATTTTTTTGTTCCGTTTGTTTAGGAATAGACAATACGAGTAATATAAGTGAAATTTAGTTAAACTGGAATATTAAATATCTCATTATTAATCTGTGAAAATAAGGTCTTTAAAAAATATTAACGAATTAAAACTTATTTACAAAAATATGACTAATAATATACGGTGTAATTATTATAGTAGCTTCATAGTAATTTAAGTGTACAAATTGAACATAAGTTATTATAACTAAATTACTAGTATAATTACTACAAATAAGATGTCACATTTTTTAAAACAATCTTTATGTAGTGGGTTTTTCTAAATATATTATGAGTGTAATAACAAAAATATGATTACAGTTATTATGAGTATAACATCATAGTCACTAAAGTGTAAAACTTGATCATAAAAATAGTCGCTGAACGTTACAACTATAGTTATTACACTTAAGATGCCACATATTTTTCAACCATCTTTATTTTAGTTATTATATATCATGATTATTATTTTAGTCATAAATATGTAATTATTTATTTTGATTGAATATGCTAATTCTGTTGAAATTGATTAAAATTTGGTCGAATGCCTGAATCTGTTGAATTTTAAAAAATTACATAAGAAATATATTTTATTAATAAAATAAAGAACAAATAATATGAAATTATAAAACTGATAAGAAAAAATCTATTTATACACTCAATTTGTACACAATTTGGATACATTTATACGGTATTGTCTGTGTACACAGATAATGTGTACACCCACTAGTATAGTGTACACATGCTGCTCGTGCTGCATTGCCTATTTACACAGACAATTATGGGCAAATATTTGAGGAATATCAAATGTTAAATGTGGAGTAAATATTAAATGTTAACTGTGGAGTAATAACAAAACAGAAATTGCCCTACATAGCAGTAAAACGTTTCGAAATTCCAAAATAGGACTATCATGATTTTTATCCCCTGAATAAGAGTAATCTGTCAAGTTTGGGAAGAAATGTCATGTTTAAAATCTAGTAATGCCAAACTTGGAAGAAATTTACTTTACTCCTATTCAGAAATAAAAAACATGTTAGTCCTATTTTAAAATTTCAAAACGTTTTTACTCTTATCAAGGGAATTTTTTATAACAAAACTTGTGGTCCGTACAAAAACCAAGTGATTTTTTATTAATAAATAAAGTAAATAATAACAATAACACTAAGGGAGAAAATCGAAGTTAAAGTAAATAAAACACATTGTCAGAGATACCTATAATCCGAAGCTTTTGTGAAATATACCCAATTCCCGTAATCTCAGAAATCCCATAAAAAAGCCCGTATTTTTGCCTTGTCGGCACCAAACTCCCGTAAATCTAGAAAACACCCTAAGTTATGAGTAATTAACGGTTAAAGTTTAAAAAGTTTGAACCAAATAGTGTATGGGAAAGTTCCCGAAATGGGACTAAAAAAGTTTGAAAATTCCAAAATAGGACTGTCATGTTTTTATTCCCAAAATAGGATTAATTACTGCCAAATTTGGAAAATACTGCCATGTTTGAAGTCTGGTACTGCCAAAACATGACAGTAATTAGTCCTATTTTGGGAATAAAAACATGGAAGTCCTATTTTGGAATTTCCAAACTTTGTTAGTCCCATTTTGGGTAATATGTCATAGTGTATCTAGTTCAAGATCTAAAGCTCTTCATCAAAGTTTCCTAATTTAGATTTGATTTGGTGACATTAGAACTTTATTTAACATTTAGATACATCGCTTCAAATAAAAACATTTAGATACATTTGTTTTGTTAAAAGCTCAAACTGAAACTGTTTTTTTTTTTTTTTTTGGCTTTCGGTGGGAAGAAATTGAGAAACGGAAGATAGAGGGGAGGAAAAACAGAGTCCTCGTTTGTGGAAGATTTGATTATGCACAAGTAGCCATAAAGATCAGGAAGAAAATGAACCGCCGGGTTGAGATTTTGGATGTTCAGATATTCGACAACCATGACGGCCAACCCCAATAAATGCCCTACCCGCCCGCAACGAGTATATTTGTTAATATAAAAAATAACCTCTTCATGATCTTCTATGTTTTTAGGTGTATACTAAATACTAATGGTCTAATACTGGTGTATATATTTTTCTTCATACATCTGTGTGTATATATGCAATGATCGAATATATATATATAGCAGTTGGTAACACAGAATTTGATGAATCCACGGAATTTGCTGAAGTTGATGTAATTTTTCGGCTGATTTACTGAAAAATTGTATTAAAAATATATTTTAGTAATACAATTAAGGAAAAAATAGATGAAAAATAGTTAAAATAATCTTCTATGGTAACTTTAGCAATTTGACCGAAAAAAATAATTTTAATCTTACTTATTTTGATTACTACATATTATAAAACTTAGAATGCGAAATTAAAAGTTACGTACTCCGTATTTGATATAAAAGTTGACTAATAAGACTGACGAACTAAAAATAGGGGTTACCAAATGAGTTTGTAATATCCACTTACTATGGGAAGATTGGGAACTTAGCTCTTTGTTTCATATTCCTATTGTGGAGATTTTTTTGGATGGTCTAACCTCATCCTAGTGAGCTTTCTAAAATTCACTTCGAATTTTAAAATTCTTTAAATCGCAAGCATGATTGACACCTAGGGAAAACATGTTGCTAGGTCGATAACGTGAAAACTGGATTGAGTGCATTGTGGAAAACTATTTTTCATGAATAATTCGAAAGTTGAGGATTGAGATAAGTTTGAACATAATAATCTCTTAATATAATAGTACCACTACCAGGAAGTGAATCACCGTGGCTTTAAAATCATAAATCAGACCACCTCACAAGTCACAAAACTCCTCCCTGTATTAGAAAACCAATACACAACCTCTCACATCACCCATTAAATATTAACTTATTAAGCAGATCAAATTATGGAAGCATCAGACAACAATGTGCGTAGATAACTTGTAAAACTCCAACCTACTGCTAAACTTGCTGCTTGTTTCACCTAGCTGGAGAAGATTAAAATTATGTGTGTTTAGGTTAAATAAGTCTCAATTGTAAAACTTCATGACAAATGCCTTGTATCTCTTGTTTCGCTTGGAAACCATTTCATGTACAGGATAGAGAAGCTCCAATAACCAACACGCAAAAGAAACCTTAGTGAGCCCTAGAACGTTTATTGCCTTGTTGCACAAGATCCATATAAGACTGCAAACTAACACCAACGTCTTCATCATACTCAATCCCTAGTTCCTCCTGAAAAAATGGAATTAGTGACACAATAAAATATAGAAATTATGTATGTCCGTTGAACATTGAATACCTTAAATTCTTTGAGGTCCTTTGGCGAATTCTCAGTAATAGTATCCCATAGATCTTTGAACATTCTCTTTCGCTTTCTCCACTGATTTATTGTTTCAGCACACAATTCCTCCACTGCTTTCCTCTCTTCTGGACTTACTAGAGTGACTCCTCCCCGCAACTTAATCAATTTTCTTTCCATCTCTTCAGCCTGAAAATGACCAGAAATATACGGATATTACATAAAAACATCTTTAGCTGACAAAAAATCATAGTTTTCTTCGTCTAACCTCGTTTCTGATTGTGGCTTCCCTAGCACGTATTTCTTCCAGTGTCAAATTTGATTGCAAAGCTTTAATTTCTGCAACAGCAGTGCTTAGTCATTAGAAACAAGAGAAAACATAAAACCAAGTTTTTCTAAGAATTGGACCAATCAATTGAACTTCACATTAATATTTATATTATAGAAATGTAGCCATAAACAGAGTTTTAGCAAATATTTCAAATTGTTTTGTTGAGTTTCAAACAGATGTTTACCCCACATTATCTTTCTTTCGTAATTCCCTCCTATTCTCCACATTTTCTTTCCTTAGAAATAGTTCCAGACAGACCCTAAAAGTAGTTATCTGGACATTGACTTCTTTATGCAAAAAATTGAAGGTTTTGAAGAGTCTACCTCCTTCAACCTCGCTGATAGCTCTCCTTTGTTCATCGACCATCTCCTGCAGCTTGGCATTTTCTTCTTTCATTCGAATAAGCTCATCATTGTCTGGAATATCAAATTGATCTTGCCGAGCAAGATATATCTTTTGCTTCCCATACTCCTTGAATGTTATCTTTCCGCTTTCAGCAAGGCTGTCGAGTGCCTTTTGTACTGCAGCTTTCTTGAGGTTAAACTTTTGGAGACAGTCAGCCACATTTTGAACGTTCAAAGGTTTATTTTGCTGGAGCAAACAAAAAAACAGGTAAGTGATTCAGGGAAACGCAAAAACCTCAAGAGAGAACAGTTGATGAAAGTAATGGGGAAGTCTATCACCCAAAAAATGAAAAACGTACGCAGTTTGAATGGTGAAATATTTAGAAAGGCTCTGCGTTTAGTACATCCATAGAAAGAAAGATAACTTAAACCTTAACCACCCAAATTTTACTTGTCTTATTTCACCCATAGCTCAAACCTTGCGATGTCCAATGGGACGGTGTAGTATTTAAAAGGTCTTAAGGAATTTCTGGGTGCAACATTTAACCAAACACACAACACACCAATCCAAAATCAACTAACGAGATGAAAGCCAGCAGAATATAATTGTTACCTCGTTCACGAAGTTAAGCACAATTCCTGAAGATCACATGCCAAAGACAAGTAAAATTTCGTAAATGGTGAAGTAAATCTGACAGCCAATTCAATATATGAAATTCAAAATTCTGAACTTTGTAGTGTCTAAATTTGTTGTATGTACACGCAATAGAAAAATACATACACGCATGTGTATAGAGAGAGGTGGATTACCTTCAGCGCTATCGGATTTAGGAGGCATTGCTGGAAAGGTTCAGAGGAAACAAGCTGAAGCAATAGGGCGCGGGAAATTTTTCGACAATTCCCCAGGTACCGTGTGAGATCTCCCAAAATATGGACTGCAACTGTGGAGTTGTTATTTTACTTTTTATGGAGTGTTTGTGATGGATTGTTTCTAATTAAAAAAGTGATTTTATTAATTTGAATTTGGATAAAGGGGTTAATAGTAAGTGTTGATAATGCACTTATTTTAAAAAACTTTACTAATTTTTACTTTTGCATAAACACTTTTTTCTTTTCAAAAAAAAATGTTTATACCAAAGTAAAAATTGGTAGTGTTTTATAAAATAAATGCATTTTATGTAATAAAAAAGTAAAAAGTAGTTTAAAACATTATCATCTGTTTTCATTTTTTATATGATAAATTTAAATAGAAATTGTCATTTGATTTCAGTTTTTTAAGTCAAAAGATGAAAAACACTTTTTAAAAAAAAAATTGCAAACACTCCCTTAGTATCTGAGGTCAGACTAAAATAATTTTACAAGTTTAATAAAATTATTTAACCCTATCCATATCCAACACATTATTATCCTAATTCCTAAATAATAGGGAATATACTCTACGCCTCTACTCACTAAAGTTGTCATGTTTTATAAATACACACAAAACATACCAATTTTAGTGAGACACTTTAAAAAGAATTTTCTAACATATCAGACACTTTAAAACATACGTGGTTAGTGGACAAATCGGCAGGCTCAAGTGGGGTTAGGCAACGGAGGAGGGCTGATCAGGAAGATGAAGATACTGGGGAAGATGGAGCGCGAGAATCTACGGCAGGCTCTAATAACAGTGTCACCAGAAAAGAAGGTAAGGAAAAAGATGCAGATGTACCAGCGGACCAGAAGCGCAGGATGATCTGGGATGGGCAGGCATCGGAGGACCCAGCTGGTGAGAATATGGCCATTGATAAAGAAAAAAACGGGGAGGCGGCGGGTCCGGGCTTCGAGACCCGTCGGTTCTGCGGATGATTTTCGTGTTGAAGATGACAGGTTTTGGTTTTTATTTTATTGTTGTTTTGCATTTTAATTTCCACGTTGAGATTGTTATTTTGTACTTTTATCTCTATTTTGCTGATTATTGTAAGACTTTTGCATTAGGATTGGGTAATGAGAGTTCTGCGGTGACCGTCTTTGGCTCATTTATGCCCAATTTAGAATTAACGAGTTATATTGTTTTGTCAAAGGTGATTAACTCTGAGTCTGGTTCAAGGGCGGATGGTTACATGTGGGTCTTTTGTTATTTTAACCCCTATCTGAATGTTGTGTTATCAATATAAGCCCCCTTCTTCCAAAAAACATATCAGACTCTTTATGATAAAAAAAAACATATCAGACTCTTCAGCATTTTATAGGTTAAATATTGTTGAGGTTTATTCCTTCAACTTCAAAAGCCGACACTTTCTCTTGGGTTTCGTGTGGAATAGTTTGATATATAGGTTATGAACAGTGAGTGACCCACAAGCAAATAATGGACAAGCAGGTAATGAGTCTATTAGATGGGATGCATCTTATTAATTGATAATAAGGTATATTAGGATGTATTCTTTTAGATTGTTTTCAGTCCCAGACCAAACCAGACCAGATCAGACCGGATCACACCCGACTTTCATATTATAAAATACACATAGTCCAGACATTTACCAGACCAACAAATTTCAGTCCAAAAGAAAACATCCTCACATCACACACTATTGTCAGCCCGCTAGGCCGATCGTCTATCTGAGCTGGAAAGAGGGGGAATAATTGATATCATTAGAGAGTACAAGTTGGCAATCATTTACAATGAAATAAATGATACTATTTATACTACCAAGGGGTATGTGATGTTGGTGATGTGGAGGTTTGTGAGTGGGTAGCTTCCCAACCATCAAATCCACTTCATTAAATGTGTTTCCCGCCAATATCATGTTTTCTCGTCAATAGGTCTGACGAGCATCCCCAAGATCTACTGATTCTGGATCCAATCAGACACAAAGGCAGGCCCGCCGTTCGGCGTGTGTTGAGTATTTTTCCCGAGGCTCTTAGATCGTTGCTTGGACTCACTTAGGCACTGGTGGCCGAGTCGAGCGTCTCCAACGAAATGATGGTCGTCGGATGGGTTCTTGCTGGGTCATTCCCCAGTTGAGCATTGGTGGTCTATTTGCTAAGGGTTATTGGTCCGTTCCTATATTGGGCCAATTAACCTAACACAAGTCCCCCACTTCTGGTGTTCCAGGCGTGCGCGGGACATAAAAAGATATGTGTGTCTACTCTGAGCCAAGCTTTTACGACGCTCGTGATGTGACTATTCATTAGGTGGTTCCCGAAATCCCAGATGACGGTTACGTGGCCGGTTCAACTTCCAAAGCAAAAGTAATCATTATACATCTATTGAGCTCTGCGCGACACGTGTCTTGGGGGACTGGGGTACGCTCCTCGTCACGTGTCGTGTAATCACGGGTCTATTAGGTGGTGGAGACCCCCTATAAATACCAGTTCTGTCGAATGGTTTAGGATTTTCAAATTTTTGTCCAGCTGCTCTCAAGTGCCCACTGCAACTTTGCTCAAGATTTTTGGCCACCGGCCCTTCGTGCTTTTTGTGATTTAGGTAATCCTCTATTCTCTTCTTTCTTTTATTGTCCTTCGGTTTTCTATGTCGAACCCGTCGAAGGCGGTTGTGGATTCTCGCATGTCTTTCGAATCTGACTCGGATTTCCGGTCCTCGGGGGGGGGGGGGGGAGTACTTCTGATAGCACCGGATCTAGTGCTTCTGCTAGGGAATAGAGCCGTCCCATCCGCATCAGAGGATGTCGCCCATCATGATGACACCTCAAGGGGAGATGCCCATGAAGATGTTGCCCAAGCAAATGTGGCCGAGCCTCAACCAGAAGATTATGATTCCGACAATGAAGCCAATTTTGTGGATGATCTGAACGTCTATGACTAGGGAAGACTCGCGATGTGCCACACCGTGATGTACCTTTGTGGAACGCCCACAGCTGCGACCAGTTCTTCTTCGAGATTGCGCATCACGAGCTTCCACTGTATCTATCGCTGCCCGTAGTTTATAGTCTGTGCAGCGCGACCCAACCCCTGAAGAGATGCCCAGGTATGGTGATGGTCCACCTGGATTTATTGAAAACCGGGTTGCAGTAGTGTTGGTGAATGAAGAACACCTTTTTTTCGTTCAACTTCCCTTCCTTGCATTTGTGTTCATCCTTCTCTTATGTCAATCACATGCTAAGTACCCATAGACGCTCCTCCTTACCTTGTGTTCAATCTCATCCAAATCCTTAACCTTGGGCAACCACTTGTCTTTTATGCCTCGAAGTGCTCGGTGCTGTGGCATGGGACGACCGTCCCTATCCACATTAGGACCTTGATTTGGTTGGAAAGGATATCAGCCTTGTTGCTAGCCGATCCTGGATGACCAACCCCAATTTAGGGAGCTGGCTTTTGAGATGTTCGTCCGGTTTATCTTATGCAAATCTCACAAAGTTCTTAACGACGCTCATCTCATGAAAGTATATGTTATAATTGTAAAGTGGGACGGGAGTACTTATAAATTTTCAACTACTTTATTAATAATTGTGCCAAAATCAAATGCCACACATAAAATGGGACGGGAGTAATACATTTTTTGTAAAGTGTTTGCAATAGCTTAAAAAGCATTTCCCGGGTTTTGACTTAAAAAGGCTAAAATTAGTGTTTTCAAGTTACAACTTCTACTTAAAAAAAAAACGTTTTTCGGCTTTTGTGTGAAAAATGTTTGTTACTTTTTCTATTACACAAAAAATACTTATTTTATCAAACACTACCAACTTTTACTTTTTAAAATTATTTTTTTCTCATACACCATCAACTTTTACTACTCACCGCTTTTTCCAAAATCACTTAAAAAAGTGTGTTTTTTAAGCAAAAGCATTTGCACACACTCCCTAAGATGAGTGTGTAGATGAAGATGTTGTGACCCTTAGGGATGTGACTGACATTGGCTATGTTTGGTAAATGGCTGATCAACCAATTTTCAGCTTCTTTGACCATTTTAACTGGGTTGACCGGCAAAATTGATAAAATTGTTTTGGTAATTAGATGGTGTGTTTAGCTGATTGGCCTTGAAAAGCTAACTTTCAAAACGCTGGCAGTAGCAACGTTTGGGCTTGGCTGCTTTGTGTATAATTATTTAATACCAATGTACTCCTTTATGCTTGAAACACACACTAACCACCAATAGCATGAAGCGCGTCTAAGTTCACAATATTTATATTCAACATATCAATAATGTATCAAGTGTTTTACGAGTACACGATTCAATGATTCAAATTATATTAATTCCTTAGTTCATTTTAAAAACTACAAATAAACATGATTTTTTAAATTCATATTATTCAAATTAAATTAAAATGTTTCTTGTAATTTGTTTTATGTTTCATGTAGTTGTATTTACATATTTTTAAAATATGACTAATTTATACTCTAAGTAAATTTAGGTAGTATTATTTTTATAAGAAATAGCTAAAAATAAATTAAAACATTAATGTCCTTATTTGTCTTTTATACACAAACAGCTATCATTGAAATCTAATTTACCAAACATTAAAAACAATAAGTTAATATAATCATCAATTAAAACAGCTTACGTCTATTGCCAAAGGAGGCCATTGTTGGAAAGCAAAGGAGAAAAATGTCATCCTTTGTTTTTACTTCTGGCCACATTCTCTTAGCTCCATAGGTTTACCTGGACTGGTTTGAAAATCAGTGCTCCGTGTATTTTACACCGTATATTCCGTGCGCAGAAGCAGTAGTGTGGCTCATATCCTTCTAGGAAAGTACGGCATCTTCTACCGGAAGGCCGGAGCTCATTTCCACCTAAAACTCCAAGTATCCTCATATACCCACATGGACGCCTGCATACCGATTAATTCATAGAAATAAGTGCTTTCAAGCTCATATATGCACGGTACGTCGCGCGTGGCTATTGTTATGCGTATTTAATTTACTGAATTTCTACATGTGTGCATGATTATATAATAATATCTGCAGCGCCATTGATTATGCTGTGAATCTCCATGACTTTCTCCTTTACTATTGTAGCGCTTCATGTCTATGTGTTTGAGTTCAATTATTCAAATAATTGAAGGTTAGGGTGTGCTTGAGATCTCTGATTCGAACGATGCTTATTAAGGTTTCACTATGTATGAAGGAACCATAGTGTGAATTCTTCTATACAACATCCAAGCCTTTACAACTACATTTGGTCCTTTAAACATGAGTACTCATAGTCATTCTTTACTTCCTCCTTTAGCCTAGTTATAATTTAAATGATGAAAATGAAATCTTTTTGGAGAGGTTTGAACTTTTGGGTATAATCCCCATTTTGATGAAATTGTTGTTCTTTAGTCTGCCTCTTGAGTTCCCAAAACCATTTAATCTCTTTTTCATACAGAGAGAAAATCCAACATATGGATGTCACCTATAAGCTTACACACATGTATGTATGTATGTACTATATAGTTGTTCATTGTATATGTTTGCTGTAGTATTTTATCCTGATCTCCAAGGCTCTGACCATGTTCTCGTCTTGTACTTCATTGGAGTTTTTAGTGTGCCAAGTTTTTTTATGTCACTGTAATGAATATCTTAGGCTTTTGAGACCTGAGCTAATGATGCCTTAAACTTTGGGAATGCCGACCTTTCATGTCAAGTATTTTTTTTGTTTTTCTTTCTTATCAGTGGTGCCGTGTTAGCTGCAAGTAATTCTGAAGATACTATGGCAATGACTGATGAGCCCCTCTACCCAATAGACGTGTTGATAGAGGAGTTGAAGAATGATGACATTCAACTCCGGTTGAATTCTATCCGGAAGCTATCTACTATTGCTCGTGCACTTGGGGAGGAAAGAACTCGGAAAGAGTTGATCCCATTCTTGAGTGAAAACAATGATGACGATGATGAGGTGTTGCTTGCAATGGCAGAAGAGTTGGCTGTCTTTATTCCTTACGTCGGAGGTGTTGAACATGCTAATATCTTGCTCCCACCTCTAGAGACACTTTGCTCAGTGGAGGAGACATGTGTGAGGGACAAGGCTGTTGAATCCTTGTGCAGAATTGGGACTCAAATGCGAGAGACTGACATGGTTGAGTGGTTTGTCCCTCTAGTGAAGGT